ATCTGGAGGTGCTACCTGACTGGAGCAGACGTGACGGTGCGAACCGATCACAAATCACTACAGTACCTGAGGGCGCAGCCGAATCTCAACCCGCGGCAGATACGCTGGCTGGACTATCTGGAGTCGAATTTCACGTACAAGATCACGTACAAAAAGGGCGCCAACAATATCGCCGACGCCCTTTCCAGACCATCTGCCCAACTCGCAGCAGTACTAGTCGCCCAGAGCAACCCGCTACTGAGTGGACTATTTACCCATGGGTATTCGACTGACCCCTTCTTCGTAAACGACGGCCATCTCCCAATCACTACGCGGAAAGGCGTCTATTACTTACGAAGCGGGACTGATCGAATTTGGGTCCCAAGTTATCGTCTACTTCGCGAATTACTAATTCAAGAAGTCCACGATTCGAACTTATCGGGACATTTCGGGGTTGATAAAACTCTGAAGGCGTTGCAGCGGTTTTATTACTGGCCAGATATGGTGACGGACGTGCAGCGTTACGTGGCCGCGTGTCCGATCTGCCAGCGAATGAAATCCTCACACCAGCGACCAACAGGACTGTTGCAGCCCCTCGAGCCACCTCAACGCCCTTGGCAACACGTAACGATGGATTTCGTTACGGGACTACCGGTCGGATCTAGCGGAAACGACGCGGTTTTGGTTGTCGTCGACCAATTGACGAAAATGGTGCATTTCGCACCATGTCGTACAACCATCACAGCTGAAGAAACAGCGCGCCTGTTCATCTCGACCATCGTTCGACTACACGGGATACCAGCAGCAATCATTAGCGATCGAGATCCGAAGTTCACGTCCAAATTCTGGCAGGACACGTGGGCTCGGTACGGCACGCGTCTACGGTTCTCATCCGCGTATCATCCACAAACGGACGGCCAGACGGAAAGGACAAATCAAACGATGGAGCAGCTGATTCGGACAAACTGCCCCGACCGAAACAAATGGGAGGACGTGCTGCCCATGTTGGAATTTTCCTACAACAACGAGCCCTCATCTACGACTAATCACTCCCCGTTTTACCTCAATTACGGGATGGACCCTACAGTGCCAATCTCCACCAACGTTGAGAGCCAAGTACCACGATCACAGCAGTTCGTCGAAGAACTACAGACTGCCCGCGACAAAGCTGTCGAACTTATTCGCAAGGCGAACGCAACTGCCCGACGGTATACGAATTTACATCGCCGGGATATTACGATGACAGCGGGGCAACTAGTCCTTCTGGACACCAAGAATTTGCGACTACCATTACCGACGAAATTACGACCACGTTTTTGTGGCCCGTTCAAGATCGTGAAGATGGTGACGCCGGTGACCGCCCAGTTGCGCCTACCTGATGACTGGCGAATTCACAACAAATTCCACGTGAGTCTGTTGCGACCCTTCGTGCCTGACACGTCGGACATCGCTCGACAGCGATTGGTTCCAGACGTACGGCCACCAGCTGAAACGACCATCGAGCCCTTGAAGATCTTGAGCCATCGGATTCGTATCGACGGTCAAGGACGACACGTTGACTTTCTGATACGATGGACCAATCGTACCAGTGAGGACGACACGTGGGTGCCCTCGGACCAGATACAGTCACCTTCGATACTTGCGAATTATTTGGACCGCAAGCACGTGGCTGATATAGCTCACCTTCGCTAAGGGGGGGGGTGGTGTAAGGAATTTTCCATTCCTTACCGAGCGGTACTGCTATCGCGTACGCTCGAACACACCTGAAGCCTCGGGACTGTTCCAGACCTTCTGACAGAACCGCCTCGGTTTTTCCAGACCTTCTGGTTCGACCTTCGGGAGTACTCCAGGCCTCGCTTCGTCACTTCGAGACCCTCCGATCTCCTTCCCGAACCTTCCCATCGCATGGTTAGACTAGCTCTGGTGTTCCTATATCTTGGCTTGCCATTCCTTGTATCGTCATTCATTGAGTGAACACTTCGTTATTCATTTCCGCGCTACTCTGCTTGTTCATTCATAACAATAGTGGACTGATCAAATCTAGTACAGTAACCAGAATTTAGAACCCAGTACAATACTTGATGTTCAGCTAGTTCGAATCTCTCATGAGCCTGTCGGTTTTCATTGGATTAGGGCTCTCGCTAAGCCTAGGGTATTCCGTTAGGTAACGGAATCAGCCCCGAAATTATCCGTTAGCAGACGAAACTGTCGAAAATTCACCCGTTATTACACGGATTCGTCGTAAGACAATGGGCCTTCAACACGGCTATGAAAACACCTTGGACCCCTCAGGGACTCTTTCTCGCACATACTATGTCTCAGGCGGTTTGGAAGAGTAGAAAAACTTCTCGTTCTCTAACCTCTCTCTCTTTGCTTAGGAAAGGTGTAGGGGGTGTGGGTGTTGGGCTGAGATAAGCCCGTAGGATCTTTGCAAAGACTAAGTCCCCAGAGAGATGTTGTACTTGTGGAAGCGTGGTGTGAGACTCAATGAACATCTTACATTGGTATGTGAGAACAAGAAAATTGATCAACACAAACAACATACAGGCATTTATATAGTTATTCTAGAATACGTGACAATTACTTCAGCTGCTGTTGCGCTATCGAGCGTATAGCGACTCGATGCCTTACCGTGGCGGTTACTGTGCAGCTGAGCTGCCACGCAACCTCCACGCGCAACCTCCAAGTGCAACTGTCACACGTACAACTGCCAACGCGCCGCTCGTTCTCGTCTACGTCTCCTTTATTCCGCTCCACACCGCTCTCCCCATACTCACAGGCTGAGGCATCGCAGCAGGCAGAGCTCGACTTGCTGCTGATTGGTGGTTCGCTCGCTTCACCTGCACCGTGCTGTACGCTCTTTCCCACTCTCCCCCTTCCGCCCCTCATCCCTCTCTCCTGCCCCCATGCAGGCTGAGGTATCGCAGCAGGCAGAGGGGCTACCTGGAGCTGGACCTGCTGCTGGGCAAGTGGGTGGACGAGCATCTCCCTTCCCTAGATGACCCCTAATTGAGGGCTCTCGCACAGCTCATGGACGAGGTACAGTAAGTGGTTTTCTCACCGCAGCAGGCAGAGGATTTCCTGGGGCTTGATCCGCTGCTGGGCAAGTGAATGACCCCCAAGTGAGGGCTCTCGCACGGCTCATGGACGAGGTAAGTGGTTTTCTCACCGCAGCAGGCAGAGGGCTTCCTGGGGCTGGATGTGCTGCTGGGCAAGTGAATGAACCCCAAGTGAGGGCTCTCGCACAGCGCATGGACGAGGTGAGTGGTTTTCTCACCGTAGCACGCAGAGGGTTTCCTGGGGCTGGATGTGTTGCTTGGCAAGTGAATGACCCCCAAGTGAGGGCTCTCGCACGGCTCATGGACAAGGTAAGTGGTTTTCTCACCGCAGCAGGCAGAGAGTTTCCTGGGGCTAGATCTGCTGCTGGGCAAGTTAATGAACCCCAATTGAGGGCTCTCGCACGGCTCATGGACGAGGTAAGTGGTTTTCTCACCACAACAGGCAGAGGGTTTCCTGGGGCTGGATCTGCTGCTGGGCAAGTGAATGACCGCGTAGTCCGGTGGGCGCGAGTACAGTTGAGTCCGTCGTGTGACTCGGCGCGGTGTAGCGGTACGGGGTGGAGATCGCAGCCGGGGTGAGGTCAAACCTCTTAGAGATGACGTCTGCATATTTTGAGGCGCTCGGATAGATCGCCTCGTCTGCGTCCAGCACGTTCAAGCCAAGGTACTGGCTCACGGAAGAGGAGGCCGTGAGCGTGAGGTCCCGCTGCAGCTCCCCTTCAAACCAGGCGGTAACGGCAGCAGTTGAGCCTACGTACAGCAGGTCGTCTACGTAGACGGTCAGCAGTACATAGGCAGCTTCTCGTGTGAGCCGGTACATACCCTGGTCGTGCGGCATCTGTAAGAACCCGATGCGGATGAGCCGGGCATGAAGATACAACTGCCAGAGCCTTGGGGCCTGCTTAATCTCGTAAAGGGATATCACAAGCTGGCAGACGAGCGTGGGGTCTTCGACGAACCCGTGCGGTTGCTCTACGAAGATCTCTACATCGACGGGCGCGTATAGGAATGCATTTGCCACGTCGATCTGGCATAGCGGCAGGTGATGCATGGCGGCGACTGCGAGCAAGATTCGCAGGGACGTGTGTCAACTGACGGGCGCAAAGGTTTTCGTGAAGTCACTCCCGTACTGCTTGACAAAGCCCCGAACGACCCAACGGGCCTTAAAGCGCTCGATCGTGCCATCTGCTTTGGTCTTCACTCTGAAGACCCATTTTCCTGAGAGGATTGTTTTGTCGCCTGCCTTTGCGGCGGGGACCATTTGCCAGGTGTTGCGCTCGGGAAGTGCCTTTAGCTTCCTTTCCATTGCTTCGCGGCATTTCTCTCTGTGCTCCCCCCCCAAAGCCTGCTTGACTATCGTAGGCTCGAGTGGAGGTGGCGTCGAAGCTCCGTGGACGGCGGTGACGAGGCCGAGAATCTGAAGTCTGCTTGGTGTGAAGTTGGGCAAGTGGTGATCCTTGGGATGGACTACTTTGTCTCCCACTTCTGGATCACGTACGAATCCGGGCCCGTTATGCTCGGAAACATTTGTGTCGATGGACTGGGGTGTTACGTAACCGTTGTTGGCGAAATGGTAATATGCTTCGGCATTCGCACTCTCGCGTGGATCCTAGTCATCCATCGGGATAGGAACAGAGCAGTATGGGAGAGGTCCGGCAGCTTTCGAAGCTCCGTCGACGTTCTGCTCATCCCAGTCGGTTTCTTCTGCTGACGAGGTGAAGGCTCGGCTAACGTTGAATCCACCAGTTGGGTCCCAATCGGCTGGGATGTTGTCCAGGTAATGCTGCAAGGTGAGTCGTTTGTAGAAAATCACGTCACGTGCCGCCACTATTTCCGTGTCGTGCACATCGAAGATCTTCCATGCGTTGTAATTCTTTTCGATGTCGAGGCGCAGTCCCCAGTTGGCGCTCTGTGAGAATCATCCGGCGCATGCAGTGTGGGGCCTGTACTGTATCATGCACCCGAAAACTCGTAGTAATTTTGTGCTGTCCAGTTTTCCTATCCACAGCAGGTGCGGTGATGCGTTGTTCGGCAGGAAGGAAGATGACAGCAGGTTATGGAGCATGACGGCGTGGTCCATCGCCTCCGGCCACTGCGAGTTGGGCAGGCGCATGCCTCGGAGCAGCTTTCTCATCGTTGTCTGCAGCGTCCAGTTTATCCATTCTGCTACACCCTGTTGTTGGTGAGCGTAGGGGAGCGAGACGAGTCTCTTGATTCCCCGCTCCGCTAGGTACTGCTTGAAGTGGTGTGACTGGTATTCCATTGCCCTGTCTGTTTGAAAGCTCTTGAGCTTCACCCCCGATTCTCTCTCTGCTACCGGGAGCCCGGCTACGAAGGCGTTGAGAGCTTGGTCACGGGTCGGTAGATTCACGTGCTGGACGTAACGAGCCGCTGCGTCGATGAACGTGATGACGTAGTGCAAGTCCATGCGCCCTTCTTCCCTCGGTATGTAAAGTATATCGCAATTTACTTTCTCGAGCGGAACATACGCCGGAGCGCTGGGGTTGTGGTGCGACGGGAATGACTGATGGGGTAAGTCCACTTCAGGGCAGATGAAGCATGTGCCGCAGGGTCGTCGAAGTTTGCGGCCATCCGGTAGGAGAAGGGCATCCTTGTTTAGGTCTCTCGCGCGAATTGTGTTGTAAAGTGTTGTGTTGCCAGGGTGTCCAAGCCGTTGATGCCATGTTTCTTCGTCTGCACGATGTCCTGCATCCCTCCTATATAGGTCAGAAATTGAATAGAAGGCAGCGGAGTTGGTGGCACTTCGGTGGGCTTCGCATAGCGCTGGCATGAGCTGCTGAGCAGCGGTCGGTGTAGTGTCGATGAATGATGATGGTGGCGGCGCCGTTGACTGACCGGTGGCCGGTGGAGGTTGTATATTTGCTGCTATTTGTTCTCCTTCTGCCATTTCCGCTTCTCGCATGACTGCTAATGCCCGTGTGCGCTCTGTCTCAGGGATGGTGCACGAGTGCCAGAAGCCACCCGACCTGAAGTCAGGATCAAGATCTGAAGGGTGAGTCCAGGAAGTAAAGGAGACGGTGGCGTCGTTGTCGGCGGTGCCGCGATCGGAAACGAAGTCCAGGACGACGACACCGTTCTTCAGTATGGCCTTCCCTATGTAGAGGCCGCCCTTCTCGTGGTACAACTTGAACTCTTGGGTAGTGTTGTCGCACTCCAGGTGAATCCCCTTTGCCATCAACTGAATGACACTCAGTAAGTTGTAGCCCAAGTCTTCCGCGATTAGTACTTTCGACATTTGTAGCACCACGTTAGTTTCCTAGGATTGTAGCTGAACAACTCCTTGCCTTCGTGTGCGCAGGTGCTGATTGTTGGCGACAGTGATGACGACTTCACGGCTGAGTTGTCGCTCACTTTGAATGAAGCGATCTGAACAGCACACGTGCTGCCCGCAACAACTGTCCAAGAACCACGTATCTCGACCGGACGGCTCGTTGTGAGCGATGGCGGCGTAAGTCAGGTTCGGCTCCAGCTGTTCTCGTCGAGGCGGCACAACTACTTTGTTTGGGTCGTAAGTCGGTGGAGATTCTATGACATAAGAATCAGTTCTTGCGATGCTGCTGACGATGTTCCTTGTCTCTAGTGCAGGTCGCGGTGCGGAGGGCGGCAAGTGCACTTGGGTTGAAGTGACTTGATTTCCCGAAGGGCGAAGCTGACGTAGTGGGACCTGCTGCTGGTGTTGATTTTGACGAGGGCAGTTAACACGCGTGTGTCCTGACGTGCGGCAAAGGTGACAGAACGGTGGTACGTAGTGTCTTGCTTGTGGTCCTTGTCGACGATGCGCATAGAACGCAATCTCGGATACTGTCCTGGTGCCGCTCTTCATACAGGTCCATGTCTTGTTGTTCAGCATGAAGTTCAGCACAGAGATGCATCTCCGAGATACGACCGTGAGCGCGAAGAAGAGAGCGGGTCGTTCGCCATTGAGGAGTGAGACCGGCAAGGACAATGGTGACAAACGTATCTTCCGACATGCTGCCGCCGATGCGAAGGAGCTTATCGCGGAGACAGCGGCAGCGACTTATATACACCATGGCTTTCTCGCCATGCTGCATCTAGACGGTTGTCAACCAAGCCATGAGGCGGCTTTGGTTTGCACTGTCATTTGCTTTATACATACTCTTCAAGTGGTTGTACGCGAGTTCCGCCAAGTTTCCGTAGCCACGATGGGTTCTGATGTTCTGTTGGTGGCAGGTTCGCAGGAGAATGTTGTATGCCATCAGCAAATGATACGTGTACTGTTCCTTGTCGCTTGTAGTACCATTGACTGGAAATGGCAGGTTCCCGTCGTAGAATCCCAAGATTTGAACTCCTTCCATCATGAGCTCGAATTCAAAGGACCAGGTATAGAAGTCCTTGCCGTTAAACGGGAATGATTTTTGCAGCTGGAGGATGTTCGCAAACTGAGCTTGTAGTTGAAGTGCATCATTCGATGTCGTGCTGTGTGCAGGTGTCGATGCCGGAAGACGATTTGGCATAAGCGTAAAGGATCCCCGTAAAGCTTGATAAGGTGCGTAGAGTGGGCTGCAGATTCCTGCACGCAAAGGATGAGCCGTCCAGGCTCATAGGAGCCATTCCAGTGTTGATGCCTCTGACGTTGTTGGTGCTGTTGTCTGACTGCGCAGGTGCTGATGGTTGCTGCTGCTCGTATGTCGACATGAAGGACTAGAAACGCTCCATCAAGCTTGGGTCGAAGCCGGTCGGAGGGGTCGCTTGCTCAGTAGGTGCTCCCGGGGTTGTTTCTTGCACAGGCGCTTCTTCAGTCTGTAGGCCAGAGTCTGGGGGCATAGTAGGTGTTGAGCTAGGAGATCCAGTGGGGGATCTTAATTCCTTCTGTGATGCCATATATTGTACTCCTGAAGTGGGCTTATGTGGAGATTGACAGATGGATTTGTAGAAGAATTGGGAATGCTTGTAACGAACTTAGTGGGAAACCTAGTCTTCGACTAGCTCTCATGCCATGTTGGGCTGAGATAAGCCCGTAGGATCTTTGCAAAGACAAGTCCCCAGAGAGATGTTGTACTTGTAGAAGCGTGGTGTGAGACTTAATGAACCTCTTGCACTGGTTATATGAGAACAAAAGAATTGATTAGCACAAACAGCATACAGAAATATATGTTGTTATTCTAGAATACGGGACAGTTTCTATAGCTGCTGTTGCACTATCGAGCGTATAGCGAATCGATGCCCTACAGTAGCGATTACTGTGCAGCTGAGCTGCCAAGCAACCTCCACGCGCAACCTCCACATGCAACTACCACGCGTGCAACTGCCAACGCGCTTTCATTACACGCGCAACTGCCGCGTGTAACCTCCGTTGACTTGCCGTACTCGTTGTTGACCACTCCACAGTATCGCTTAAATCTCGATACTACAGAAACGAGTTACTTCTCCAATTATTTGTTTCCACCTGTGGGAAGGGATGATACACCACTACGAGCAGATCTCCTACTACTAGGGCACTTAGTGACCCGTAATGACAAGGAAACGCATGAGAAGTAATCCCTCAGGAAGGTCAGGAAGACGGAATCTAGAAAAGTTGACTACTAAAAAAAAGGCATCAGGTCGAAACAAACTCTTAATTTTCGACATCCAGGGTAAATACTTTGTTGCCAGAGCCCTTCATTGGATAGGAGTGTGGCTTGTATGTGAGATGCCCTTAGATCACCGCCAGGTCGAAATTGTAGCTTTCTGGACTTCAGATTTTTTCTGCTGGGGAGGATTTGTCGCAATGATGTCCCGTATTTGTCGACCAGGTGGCATTTTCACGCGGAACTTCAAAATTTGCCAAGGGCACAGAACCAATTGATTGAGGGCTCAATCGTGTCCAATAGCGTCTGGCTAGGTGGACAAGGCCGTGGCGCCACCACTCAGGATCAAGAGTTTGCTTCTTCAGTTGCGTATCCTTCCCCACCGCACGCGATGTTCTAGAAGCTACTGATGACATGGAGTTACAGCACCTTGAAGTGAATCACGTGACACATCAATGGAGAGAACTGGGCAGCGTTGGAAAAATCAAGTTCAGGCAACTGTACAAAGATTCATATTCCTTCAGGTGAGGCCCTATTACAGTGCGAACTCATCTACACCGAAAGAATTGCACTGAATTGGATTTGTAAAAAAAATCCCTCCCCTTTGTCCGCTTGGAAGTTCTGTTGTGAGCCAGGCATCAAGGCCATGTGGTGGAGCTTGTCCAGAAGCTGTCTTGCACCCCCCTTCCCCTCACATGTGAATCATCCTCACAACTTGAACGGATCAAGCCAGGCTCGCCTCGCCATGCAATCGTCACGTCATCCAATGAAGGTGCACAGGAACGATGATGTTGCCACACATACCCAATCAGCCTTGCCCCACCATCGCAACAGAGGGGCGCTGCCACAATCACCCGCATTCTCAGGGTTAGCGCGATCCCACGCCAGCGCAGCAGGCCCCGTGGCGACAAGGAGGTTTGCCATTTCATCCCCATGTGATGCGGTGTACTCCCACGAAATCCACTCCCACCTCATCCATCCCACACAGGAACAACACAAGGGCAACTCCCTGATAATAATATATTTTCATCTCATGCCCTGAACGAGGCGCTCTGGTGGCATTTTTCCCCCTGCACCTTGGGAATAGCAAGGCTGCACGGTCATTGAGCAGCAGCAACTGCTGCGCTGAGTTTCTTTCATGTGGGGAGGTGAAGAGTGAACTCTGTTGCGTGCCGCCGTGGAAGCTCCAAGAACGCACCCTATCTGGGTCTAGCCCAGTGAATCGAAGCTAGTGTTCTGCACGCCAGGCAAACACCATTCTAACGTGAGCAAGACTGCGATATGGTTAGCCCAGCTTCACGCTAGGTCGGAATCTCTGTGTAGCGACGGGAATATGGTTGCATCACGAAGCCCAGATTTGTTGTGGAAGCAGCATAGCCGGACTTGAGCCATCGTTGAGGAAGGAAGGAAGGACGTTGAGCTATCTAGTTGCAAATTCCTCGGTGGTCATTTGATGGTGTGTTTAGCATGCTACTGAGGCTTTTTCTCTGCTTGCTTAAAAGTGAACATTTCTGCTACCTACAAAACTTCCACTTTCGACGTATGGCACTGCTGAGAGAGTAGAGTCAGGTGGGGGCTGGTGCCCATCGAAATCCCGCCGACCGAGAGGCAGAAGGATAGGCTCTATTACAGGCATAGGTTTGAGAAGAGAGAGGCTTTTTTTTCCGAACCGTCCGAAGAGACTAAGCAACGCATCTCTCGTCCACACCTTTTCACGTCAGTCCATCGCGAGACAGGCTGGTGTTTAGCCGCATGCAGCGGCTCTGCTAGCAAGATAGAACGAGATCGCGAGGCACAACAGCGGGAGAGATCGAGAGCCATAGCGAGCCGTTGCAAGGCTTAGGCCTTCGGCGAACAAGGAACGACAGCCACGGAGGTCTCGCTGACCCTCAATCTCGATTCGACTTTTTCCTGTCGCGCTTTCGCAGATGGAAGAAGACATGGTACCTTCCGGCACGCGCCGGCCATTACCCTTCCACCCGCCACCTTTCGCGGGCTTAACAACTCCTCCTCGCCCCGATGCCGCTTTCCTTCCCGCCATCCCCGCCGTCCCTGGTAGCCTTTTCCCGCACCACATTCCCGTCGCCGCGACTGCCGGCGCCTTGCACCCGTCTCTCGTACCTCCGCTCTCCGCTACTCTGCCTCTCGCGCTCACTCTCCCGACCTTAGCCGCAGCGGGAGTCCCTCTCCCCGTGCGCGCAGAAATGGCAGCGTTGGGCGCTGGAACCGCGGGTGGAATTAGCACACTTGGCGCGGGAGGGCGGGTTTTTGGCGCGGGGGAGACCAGCGGAGGGGTGCCTGCGGCCTCTGGCTGGCAACCCGATCCGCAGACGATTATGGCGATTGCGGCGGCCGCAGCGGCGGCGGCGGCGGCGGCGGCGGCTCAGGGACAGCGCGGAGCAGCGGCGGAACCGGCAGGGGGAGTTGCGCGACAAGCGGAGGTTTTGACGGGGCTTGCGGGGCTGGGCCGTGTCGCTGGCCTCGGCGCGCCGGGATTCTCGGGATCTGCTGTCGCTGCGATGTCTAGTTACCTGGGAGCTTCTCTTCTTGGAAGCGCGCCCTTGGGCTCGTCATTAGGTGGCCCCGACGCGTTTAGGGGTGTCCCGGCGGTTGAGGGACTCGGTCCTGGCATCAACTCGTCCCTTCTGTCCTCCTTCGCGGCACCAAATTCCGCCGCCGCCGCCGCCACCGCCGCCGCCGCTGCCGCCACTGGTGGCGACCAACTACTTCCCGCGCTCTGGCGCCTCAATCCCTCGGCGGCTGCGGCGGCGATGGCGGCTGCTGTTGCGGCAGGTCAGGTCGCGGCGGCGGGTGGTGGCAGGGCAGACGCCGCATTCGCTGCTGGCGGCAATGATGGCACCGTCGGCATCGGCGGCGGAGTCGGCGGCGTTCCTCCTGGCCTTGAGCACCTGTGGGCTGCCCGCGGCGGAGGGGGCAGTGGGGGAGGGGGGCGGGGCGGGGAGGGCAGGCGCGCGGGAAGCGGCAGCGGCGGTGGCGGGCGGAGCGGGGAGGGCAGGCGCACGGGAAGCGGCAGCGGCGAGGGCGGGGAAGACGAGCGCAGGAGAGATGAAGGCAGCGGAAGCGGCGGGCGCGCCGGCGTGGGGGAAAGCCTGGATTGCGCGGCGTCGAGGGCAGCTATTCGGGCCGTCGCAGCGATTAGCATCACAGACAGCGGAAGCGGAACAGGCATGGTTGGGGAGAGATTGGCCGGCGAAGGCGGAGGCCGGCGCGGAAGGGGGAGGGCAGCTGCGGGATTTGCGGGTGGGGGGGGAAGTCGAATGGGCGGAGGAGCAGCGAGCAGTCAGAGCCCGAGCGTGACAGTATCAGAATCTGTTATTGGTGGTGGTTATAATAACGCTGGTGCTGGTGTGGGGTTTGGGGGGGATGCTGCCGCTGAAACAGGTGGCAGTAGCGCCGCCGCTCGGTCCGCTATGATGCTCACGCAGGCCCCTGGTCAAACCTATACCGCGTACAGAGTGCAGCCGCCACCTGCCCTTCGTCCCCCTCCCCCCCCACCTCCTCCTCCTCCGCCCGATATTCACCCTCACGCTCGCCCATACTTCCAGCCGGTGCCTCCCGCGCGCCCGTCCCTTCCCCCGAATCTGCCCGCGGCCCCTGTATTGCCCCCGGGCCTCTTTTTCGTTCCATCGGCTGGCAACCCTTTTGCTGCTGTGGCGGCGGCAGCAATGGCGGCGGCGGCCGCAGCAGGAGGAACCGGTGAAGGTGGGTCTGGTGCAGGGCTCAACCCCCTCCTGGGTGCGCTCTCGTTGCCCCTATTGGCGAACGCTGCTCCACTTGCAGCCGCTCCAGGCGGAATGGGAGTGGGGGGTTTAAGAGGGTTGGGCGTGGGGGCAGGCGGGGAGAATCTAGCAGCAGCTGCTGCGGCGTCTCGAGGAGCAACAGAGTTAGGAGCAGCAGGGTCAGGAGCAGGGCTGGGAGGAGGGCTGGGAGGAGGGCCAGGAGCAGGGGCGGTAGGGGGGGGAGGAGGATATGGAGGCACGACGGCAGCTGCAGCCGCAGCGTCAGCAGCAGCAGCATTAGCAGCTGCAGCGTTCGCAGTCGCCTCTGCTCCCTCGTCCTCTGCTGCCGCCGCGGCTGCAGCGGCTGCTGCGGCAGCAGCGGCGGCGGCAGCAGCAGCAGCGTCGGCTTCAGAGCAACCCTCGTCGTCCGTGGTTCCGGCTCTGATGGGGCTTGGCGGAACGAGAATGGCAGCAGATGCAGGTTTTACTGGGGTAGGCGGATTCGGAGGGGCGGCAGGGATGGGAGCAGCAGCGCTGGGAGCAGGGCTGGGAGGAACAGCAAGCTTTCCTGCTCTGTTTTGTGCCCCGCCTGCTTCGCATGCCCCTCTGCTGGGGTCTGGTTTTCCTGCTTCAGCCATGGCCCCTGCCCCTGTCCCTGCGCCTGCCACTGCTGCTGCCGACTTGATGCCACCTGCTGTCCCTGGTGCCGTTGCGGGCTTAGGAACTGCTGGTGTCGACGCAGCTTCCGCAGCAGCAGCAGCTGCTGCAGCAGCGTCAGCAGCAGCAGGCGCAGGGGTGCAGTCTAGCACACCAGCAACGGTGATCACATCGCTATCTGAGAACCCGAGCGACCGGCCGTGGTGGTATCGGCAGGAGGGGTACAAGTGCGGCGTGTGCGGGGCGCACTTCACCTCGGCACAAGCCCTGGGCGGCCACATGACTCGGCATACCACACGCAAGAGACGCGTCTCCTCTGCGTCTGCTGCTGCTGCTGCTGCCGCGGCCGCTGCTGGCTCCTCTGCTGCAGCTGGTGCTGCTGATCCTTGTGTGGAAAAACTGGGGAAGGCGATTGGGGAAGGAGCAGGGGGAGGCAGTGGTATAAGAGAGAAAGTGGCTGCTGCTGGTGCTGCTGGTGTGGGCGAGCATGCAGTAGGCGCAGGAATAGTCTCTACTGCTGCTGCTGCTTCCGGCGCTGGTGCTTTACCTGGTGTTGTCCTGAGGAAGGCCATGGCGGCGGGAGAGGGAAAGATGGCACAAGAAGAGGGGGAGGAGAGGGAGGAGGAGGCGGGGGAGCGCAGGGGTCGTGTGAGGCGCAGAGCAATCCGCCCTGAAGCGAGCAGTGCCGCTCCGGCCCTTCCAGGCGGTGGGTTTGCGCAGTGGACTGCTCCGCAGGGTGCCATTGGCAGTGGCGGTGGCAGTGGCGGTGTTGGTGCTGGTGCTGGTGCTGGTGCTGGTGTGGGTGGGGGTGGCATGGATTCACGCGGCGTCAGAGCAGCAGTAGCAGCGTCCACACCCATAGCGTCATCGGCAGGAGTCGCAGCAGCGACCGCAGCAGGAACACCAGCATCCGCAGCAGTAGCAGCAGCAGCCGCAGGAGGAAGAGGAGGAGGAGGAGGCGTGGCTCGTGGTCCCTCTGCTCTTCCCTGGACTCACCCACCTGCCGCCTCACCCGTCGTCCCCGTTATACACTCCTCCGCTTCCCTCTACGCGCCCTACCACTCCCCCACGTACTCTCTCGCCGCCTCCTGCCGCGCAGGACCCATGAGCCCTCCCAGTGCAGCAGGCAGCATGGCAGGCATAGGAACCACCGCTGCCGCCGCTGCTGCCGCCGCCGCCGCCGCTGCTGCTGCTGATGCTGGCTCGTTTGGCGGCATTGCGTCGCTTGGGAGTGCTGGGTCGGGGAGGGGGGGCGTGCGATCGGACTCGTCTGGCTTTGCCTCGTCCACGCTCTCGCGCCCTGGTCTCGCGGGCTCTGCTGGTTCGTCCCCTGCGTATGCAGTCACCATGCCGCCGCCTAACGCGGGCGTGGGAGTGAGCGGGCCAAGGGGCTTGGGCCGGAGGGGGGGGATTGGTGCAGGCGGAAGCGGTGCTGCTGCTGCTGCTGCTGCTGGTGGGGGCAGTGGTGGTTTTGTTACTGGTGTCGCTGGTGGTGGTGCTGGTGGTGGTGTTCTGGTCGGATCTGAGGATACTGGTGAAGCCAAGCTGGGTTCGCCTTGCTCCGATCCTCTTTCCCACTCCACGCGCCACCCGGTGCTCTCTCCCTTCTCGCGCCCCCCTCCTCCCGCCGCGCTTCACCCCGTGCAGAGGCCCAAGCACCACCCGCCCGCATTCGTTTTCTCGTCCGCTTCACTCGCTAACGCCCCTGCGCCTGCGCTCAAAGCCTGGAGGGCCACTCAAATGGGCCTCGGCGACTGGGGGGGCAAGGATAGGGGCTACTCGGACGAAACTGCTGCTCTAGCTGCTGCGGCGGCGGCTGCTGCTGCTGCTGCTGCTGCAGGGGTTACAGCTCCGGCTTCTGCTGCTGGTGCTGCTGCTTGGGGTGCTGGAGGTGTTGGTGCGAGGGGTGGAAGGGGACTGGAGGACGGCGGGTGGCAGAATGGAAGCCCTGCGGCAGCGGCTGCAGCAGCGGCTGTGGCGCTGGCAGGGGAGGAAGCGGCTATGGAGGAGGAACACCAGATGCAGAAGGGCGGGCGGAAGAGGATGCGGATCGACCTAGAGGTGGACAGAGATGTGGAGATGGTTGGGGGAGGGGAGAGGGACGGAGTGCAGGGAGGGGAGGACTGGGGGGGGGGGCTATTGGGTCCGGAGAGGATCGAGGAGGATGCTGAGATGGAAGAGGCGAGGGAGAGGCGTCGAGTCTGGGAGAGGGAGAGAGAGAGGGAGAGTGAGAGGGAGAGGGAGAGAGAGAGGGAGAGGGAGAGGGAGAGGGAGAGGGAGAGTGAGAGGGAGAGGGAGAGGGAGAGGGAGAGTGAGAGGGAGAGGGAGAGGGAGAGGGTGAGAGACGGCGAGAGGGTACAGGCACAGGAGCTTGCATTCTTTGGGCATGCGGGGAGCTGGGACAGCTCGAGTGCTTGGCGGCCGTCTCCCCTGGGCCCGCTAACTGCGCCCCCTGCAACCACACCGCCCCCACCTGCAGCAGCAGCGGCAGGGATAGGGGCGGGAGGAGGAAGGAATGGTCGAGGTGAAGCAGGTGGTTTGGGGCAGGCGGGGCTATCTGGGGGAGGGGTACCTGTTTTTGGGTCGGTTCCCCAGGACTGGACTGCCACACCGTCAGGTCCGTTTGTTTTTGAGGGCCCCTCGCCTCATCCCCACTGGTGGTCGCCATTTGCTTCCAGCACATCGGCAGCAGCAGCTGCCGCAGAAGCAGCAGCAGCAGCTGCCGCGTCTGCGCCGGCTTTTGCTTCTGCCCCTTATGTGCCAGTACCTATGGCCTTCCCTCCGTCCACTGATATTATTGCACTTGCAGCAGCCGCTGCTGCCGCAGCGTCTGCTCCTCCTGCTCGTCCTGCTCCTCCTCCCCCTCCTCCCCCCCCTGCTCCTGCCCCGGTTCCTCCTCCCTTCCCGTCGTCAGTAGCGTCATTTCTCCCCGGCATTGCTCACCAGTTCCCTCGCCCGTCCCAAAACCTGCCTTCTCACTCGTCCAAGCCTCCTCCTGCTGCTTACCCCTCTGCCGCTGCCGCTGCTGCAGCTGCTGCCGCCGCCGCTTTTGCAGCAGCTACCGGTGGTGGGGTGGACGTGGCTTCTGTGCCGTGGCATCTGATCCACGCGCATGTCTCTGGTAACCGGGGCGGCAGTGGAGATGCAAGTGGGAGCGGCAGTGCTGGTGGTGGTGGTGGCGGCGGCGCCAGTGCGAGTGCCAGCGGCAGTGGCAGCCGCAGCGGCAGCGGCAGCGCCAAGCATCACCCCCACTTCCCTGCCCACCTCTCCAGACCCCGTGTGCTGCACTCAGGCCTCCTCCCCGGGGGGGCCGACAGCCCAGCAGCTGCAGCTGCGGCAGCAGCAGCGGCAGCCCTGGCGGCAGCAGGGGTTGCGGGAGTGTCTCTGGATATGCCGTTTGGGGGAGCGGTGGCGGGGGGAGGGGAGGCGTCTGTAGCCAGCAGCAGTAGCAGCAGCGGGCGCGGGAGCAAGGGCAGCAGGAGCAGCAGGGGCAGTGGAGGCTCTAGTGGGGGGGGGGGGAGGGGCAGCGGGAGTGCGGGGAGGGAGAGTAAGGGTGTGGCGTGGCAAGGAGGAGGGGTGGGGGGAGGAATGGGGAGGATAGAGGAGAGGGAGCGGCATAAGGGCGGAGAGGGTGGGCTGCTGGGGACGATATCAAAGAAAAGGAGGGAGGGGCCGTCGCAAGAGTCGGTGATGGGAGGCAAAACGGTTGTTGCCCTCAGCGGGGGAAGCTCTGCTGGTGTGGGTGGTAGAACAGCAGTGGTGAGAGGAGACGAGGGAGCAGTAGCAAGAGGAGGAATTGGAGGAGCAGCAGGAGGAGGAAAAGCAGGGGGGGACGTGTTTGCTGCAGGGGGTCTGGCGGCAGTGCCACTGCCCAGCACCCCTCCTCCTCCGGGCTTCTCACTCTCCCTTTCCCTGGCCCTGCCAGACCCCTCCCTCACGGCCAGGCAACAGCAACAGCAGCAGCAAGGGCTGTCTGAAAGGAGCCTGCATCTGCGGGAGTATGGTGGTGGCTACGAGGAGCAGCCGCCTCAGGCGGCGGAGCACAGGCAGAGGGAAGGTGGCAGCGGGGCAGCGGCTGCATGGATGCAGGCGGAAGAACGGACAGGTGAGAAACAATGAGACAAGGACTGTGTGACGGGGGCGTGGAGTTGTTGGGTTGGGCTCTTGCTGAGCTGGTCCTTGTTGAGAATTCTCAGACAACCACCTCGGTTTGGGGTCTTGTTGAGAATTCTCAACAACCAACTCGGTTTGGGGTTGTGCCGGTTCCTCTGCTTGCTTGCTGCTGCCATTCCATGTGTTGGATTAGGGAATGAGCAGCCAGGGACGCTCGCCAAAACCAGTCGTTTGCCGTTCGTTGGTTTAGGTTGTGCGGATCTTAGCGGCCATCAAGCTAACTGAATCGGATGCATTCTTACTATGTGTGGTGCTGGTCCCTTTGTGGTTGTGGTCTCTGTGTGGTTCTGGTCACTGTGTGTGATCTGGTCACTGTGTGTGGTTCTGCTGCAATGCTGAATGCTACAGGCGAATAAACTCAATACCGCCGTGCTTCTGCCTCGTGTGTTGCTGTTGCTGCTGCTGCTGCTCCTGATTCCTGCCTCGAGTCCGGGCCTAAGCCCCTGCATCACGTGCAAACATGAGAGAGATAACAAGGCGCATCACCTCTGTGTGGGCCTCGTCCCTGTGCTCCTCGTAAGGACTCGGACCCAGCACCACTAAATCCTCTTCTATATAGCCTCTTAGCGCTTGCCAAAACATCTCTTCCGTCTCCGTCTCCTCCTACTACTCCTCTTCCTCCTCCTCCTCCTCCTCTTCGTCCCTCCCCCTTTTTCCCTTCTCCTGCTTCCCCTCCTCCCCCTCCGCTTTTTAAGCCATGACAGCTCTTGTAGATGATCTAATTGCTCTTGCTGTTCCCACCTTGCGTGCCTGATTAAACCATTGAATCCACCCCTCAGCCCAGCATTCTCTCTTTCTCACTCTCTGTCTCCCCTCTCTCCACTTCTGGTTCCTATGCCATTCTCTTTGTTGCTCTTCGTTTCCCTTTCGTTTTGCTCCCAACATTCTCTCCTCCTCCCCCACCTCATGTTTATTCCTCAGTCCACTCGCTCTCCCGTACTCTGCTTCCTGCCCCTCCCACCCTCCCCTCCTCCCCTCCATCGCTTCTTCCCTCACCTGTTCCCTCCCCCTTTTCCTTTGCCTCCCTCCCTTCTCCATCCTCTCTGTCCTCTCTCCTTGCCTCCTACTTCCCTCTCTTCCCTCGTCGCCCCCTCCCCCCCCCCCCCCCCCCCCTCGTCCCATTTTCCTGACCCCTCCTCTCCACCCTCCCCCTTTCCTCCCTCTCCCCACCTCCCCCCCGGCCGTGGTGTGCCTGCGTACCAAGCAGGTTTCGAAAGCGCGATTTACTTTGCAGGGCAACCCCTGCCCTCTCTTCCTCTCCCTCCACACATGACTGCAGGCCACGCTCACCATGCTTCCACTGGCCCCTCTCGTGGATACCATTTCCCCCCCAACTCGTGCGACCTCCTGCCACACGTCCTGCCACACACACACCTCCAGCCACACCTCCCTCCTCCTCTTCCTCTTCCCCCTTCTCCTCTCCATCACCATCCTTCTCACGCCCCTCCTCCCCCCTCTCCCCAACCCCTTGCTCATCCGCCTCCCGCCGCTCCTTTCCACGCAGTCGCTGTTCCTCCGGCCCTGCAACTGCTGCTGCGGCCTGCGAGTCCCACCTCTCATGGCCTACTCGCAACCACCGACTGTGCCATGGACTGCACTGCAGAGCCCCCCTCCTCCTCCTCTCCTGCCTCATATCTTCCGTCCCTTCCTCCCTCCTTTACTCCCTCACATGCCCCCTCCTATCCCCCCTCCTATCCCCCCTCTTATCCCCCCTCCTATCCCTCTTCTTTTCCTCCCTCATATCCTCCTTCCTACCCCCCTCATATCCCCCCTCCTATCCTCCTTCCTACCCCCCCTCATATCCCCCCTCCTATCCTCCCTCCTACCCCCCCTCCTATCCCCCCTCCTATCCTCCCTCCTATCCTCCCTCCTACCCTCCTTCCGTTTCTCCTTCCTATCCCTCCGCTGCAACGGCTGCTGCAACAGCCCACAACTGCGCCCCACCTGGAGGCACCGCACTATGGGGCACTACGACTCGATCTTCATGCGATCTCAACATACCCGCACCACCCTCGTAGTGTAGAGCGGGGTGCAGCGGCTCACGTCACGTGCTGCATATCACAATTTTGGGGTTGGGTTGGGAGGTCGGGAAGTCTGGCAGCAGCAGCAGCAGCAGCAGCAGCAGCAGCAGCAGCTGGGAGTGTGTAGGTAGGGAGGATACCACCTGGTTACAGCGTTATGGCTGCTTTGCCCTTCGCCCTCTGTTCACTGCCAGGTGCCGTCACGTCTAGAAAGATGTTAGCACTTTTACTCCACTCCACAGGCAGGCCTGGTGTTAGTGTATAATCGCATTGTGTGACTGGCTCTCATGCTTTCTGCCCTTGCTGCTATGTAGAGATCGCTTACGGCTGCGTGCTTATGGAGCATTGTCTTGCCAAAAGACTCGACGACACTTAAAGCCCGTGGATATAATAGCAATCAAGAGGGCTGTTTAATTTGCTCTTGAACTTGGCACATGACTTGATCTTTAGAGTACACGAAACAGAATAGGAACATTTCGTTTTGCAAAGCGGAATCTGACCGTGGCGGTTTGGCGACAGTATTTGCACGAAACCATTCGGTGAACAGTGCAATACGCGTCTTCACGAGTATGTCTTCAAACTGAAATTCGAACAACTGATGCGGTTTTAGATGTGTTGGAAATATCTCAAAGGACTTAAGCGTTTCTGAAGTGTAACACTACACTCGAGGAAGATCGCAACGGGTACGCGAGTCAACGGAAGTTACACGAGGGGCTGGACAAAGAACGCGAAGGAACTCGAAGGGTCGCAACTGGAGGTTGCGACTGACCGTTACAACAGCGCGGATGGTAACCGAAGCGACAATCGAGTCGCTGTGCGACTCGATAACCGCTCCTGCAACTGTATTCTACAACTGCTTTCCTTTCCTATTTCTATATATTGCTGTATGCTTGTTTCTTTAATCAATCACTTGTTCTCATATACTAGTACAAGGGTTCAACTGCCTCAACTTCCGCTGCACTACTCAAGTCTTTTACAACTGGGACTTAGTTTCTGGAAAGATCCTAAGGGCTTTTCTCAGCCCAACATGGTATGAGAGCTGGCCAGAGACCAAACTCCCAGCAACTACTCTCTATCTACAATCTGCAATTCAACGACTTCATTGATTACAAGTCATAGATAACAAGGGCAAGAAGACCTCTACGGGCTCACCCAGTACCCAAGACACTCAATACGGCAACTCTGGGCTGCACACTTCAGGACTGCAGACCGAGACCGGCGCTGCTCAAGAGACAACAGGAAGAACACCGGAAATGGTGACCCCATCGCCGTCTTCAAGCGTCGACCCAAACCTTATGGAAAGGTTCTTCAGCTTCATGTCGCACTTCGATCAGCAGCAGCAGACAAGGACACATGCTCATTCAACACAGAGCAACGGAGGAAACACGGGATTAGCGCCGATGAGCCTTGACAACTCATCTTTCGGGCGACACAATCAAGCGCCTACCTTTGCGCCCTACCACTCGTCACCGGGGACATTCGAGTTCATGCCGCCCCGTGCCCAACCAACAGCAGCTGCATCACAACAGACACCAAATGAGATTCTAAGTCTCCAGGCGCAATTTTCACACGTCATCAAGCTACAGACATCCTCACCGTTCAACGGACATGACTTCTTTACCTGGAGCTTCGAGTTCGAGCTGCTGATGGAGGCTGCGCATCTCCTGGGATACTTCAATGGGTCCCTGCCATTCCCAAGCAACGGCACTGCAAAAGAGCAAGAGATATTTACTTATCAGTCGCTGCTGGCGTACACAGTTCTCTTACGGAACCTATCACCACAAGAACAGCAGAGCATCAGAACATATCGGAGCTATGGAAACTCCGCGGAACTCGCATGGCATCATCTCAAGTGTCTCTATCAAGCAAACGACAGCGTGACACAAAGCAGACTCATGCAACAACTGATGACAATACAGATGAAGACCGGGGAAAAGGCGATGCAGTATATGAGTCGTTGCCAAACCCTCCGCGACCGCCTGCTTCGGTGCGGAGGAACAATCACTGAAGAAAACTTCGTGACGCTTGTCCTCGCCGGGCTCAGGCCAGAATGGAGAACCACACGCTCGCTTCTTCGCGCCCACGGAAGAATCTCGGAGATGCACCTCTGCGCCGAACTTCACGCTGAACAACAAGAGATGGACCTGTTCGAAGAAAGACAACCAAGAAAGCAGCAGCAGTTAGTTTTCTACACTCAACAAAGGAACGACAATAACTACAATCGACGCGGCAAGCAAGATCAACGCGACAACAGAGGACTCACCTTCGTGCCGCCGTTCTGCCACAACTGTCAGACCTCCGGACACTCGAAAGTCAACTGCACACGTCCTCGTGTTTATCGACCAGTAGACCCACAAGTCGCTTCCACTCAAGAAAGTCCCCCAAGGCGCTCCTCCACATCTGCACAAGGAACACCAAACATTATCAGCTGCATGGTGCACATCGACAACTGCGCACCCGGATCACCACCAAATTACGCGCTAGACGAAGAGGAACTCCCGCCGCCACGCTCACAAGGGCTTCAAGTCAACCCGACATATGCTGCGGTCGCCAACGCCGAACCCACCGGGCGAAATACCTGGTTCTTGGACAGCTGCTGCGGTCAACACATGTGTTCTTCCGGACGCTTCGTGCAACAAGAACGACGCCTCAACCGTGATGTCATCATCACCGTCGCCAACAACGAGAATCTGAAAACAAACCGACAAGGCGTGGTTTAGTTACAATCAATGGAGACAAATGTTATACTTCAACTCAACAAGGTCCTCATCGTCGACAACTTGGGATACAACCTACTAAGCGTAAGCCAGCTAATGGCAAAAGGGATTCACCTGGAGTGCGACTCCTACTCCAACGAGTTTCGCCTTTACCACGGGAAGGGCGGTCTCTTCATCGGTCGTGCTCTCCTGAAGTCCGGCGTCTTCGTGTTGGACTTCGTCCCCGACCGCGGTACTGCCGATAGCGACGGAATCGTATCGTTCGCCGCCTGGACACACCCGCCGGATCTTGACCCAGACTTCGACCATGATGGATTCTGGCACTCCAACACCATACCTGTAGCAGAGAGAACACGAGCATTAGCAGTCATCAGATAAGAAAGACAAGTACCAGCAAGTGTCCCTTCCCAACCATCACCTGCAGTAGCAGCAGCAGGACCCAGCCGAGTACCACCACCAGCGATCCGAGGACCGCCAACCGAAGCAGATCAACTTATGCCCATCACACGAGAAGTCTGTCGAAGTCCCGCCACAGTCGCCGCGTTCTTCTCCAACACCGACATATACCACCGCTCGCCCGGCCATCGCGCTCCCGACGACATCTGGCACCAACGACTCGGGCACCCTGCAAATAGCACAATACTACAAACCATCCAAGCCGAAGTTTTAGAACGCAACGCTCTCCTAACAACGAGCGGTCAAGAACTTCGACGACCACGCGCACGATGCTTTACGTGCCCCGAAGCCGATCTTCCCCACCAGCCTTTCGCATCTCATCACAACCCAAGCGCACCTGCATACGCACCGATGGAAAAAGTCTACAGCGACATTTTAAACATGCCTCGGGAAGACGCTGAAGCAGACTTCAACTATGTCATCACGTTCATCGACGCAGCAACAAGATACGTCTGGCACTACAACCTTAAGACGCGCGATCAAGCCTTCGACGCCTTCACGACATGGCTACCCATCGCCGAACGGGAATCAGGAATCAAGCTCAAGAGCTTCCAGTCAGACGGTGCATTGGAATACCAGTCACAACGCTTCAGGACCTATCTGGCGGAAAGAGGAATCAGACGCCTGGTGTCCCTGCCCTACGCTCACCAACAGCAAGGGGTCGCAGAACGCATGAACCGGACCTTGCAGACGACGATGCGGAAGCTGCTCCTGGGGATGAGACTGCCCACCACACTGTGGCCAGACGCGATGACACATGCAGTCCACCTGCACAACCTGTTGTCCTCGTCATCACTTCCCAACAACGCATCGCCGCACCTGCTGTGGACACGAAAAAGGGGCAGCACAAAATTACTTCGAGTTTTCGGTTGCATGGTACAGTACAGACCTCACACAGCCCGAGCAGGACGCTTCACTCAACGAGCTCGGTGGGGACTACACCTCGGCATCGCAAAACATTTTCACGCATGGAAAATCCTCGACATACAAGACAAAAATACAGTGGCATCACGTGACGTTATCTTCTACGAGCGACTGACGCTGCAGCATTACCTGGACAACATTGCCAATTCACAAGACCCCACCGACGGCTTCGCGGGTCTTTGTTCCTTCGCCGACCGTGCTGCCGAAGCTGACGCAGCAGAAGAAGACGTACCTGGAGCCTCGGAAGCTGCCGGACCACTCCCTTTCTGTTCCGTACCTGTTCCACTCGACGAAGACAATCCCCTCGATAGTAACAACCTCGACACCTTTTACCACTTCGCTGACCAAGGTTACATTACACCCCACCCGGTCGACACAAATGTTTCAGAACGCATCGGCCCCAACTTCTTACCTGATCCAGAAGACGGTGACGAAGCAGCCTATTCCGGGAATGAAAATTCCCCTCGACACACACCCACGGGACTGCAGATACTCGGCCTCTGGGTCTCCGTCTAGCATCCGCCGCCGCCATCTCCGCGCGAGCCCCCGACTCTGTCGCAGGCTCTGGGGGGGGAACATAAGGCGAAATGGAAGGAGGCGATGGAAAAGGAGTTAAAGGCTCTGCAAGACCGAAATACATGGAAACTGGTACCTGCAACAAGCATCAACGGGAAGAATGTCCTCTCGGGAAAATGGGTGTACCGCATCAAGACCAATGCCGACGGTTCCACCGAACGATTCAAAGCTCGATGGGTCGTACGAGGGTTCGATCAACGATACGGAACCGACTACACAGAAACATTCGCCCCAGTCTCCCGTCACACCTCATTGCGCATCCTACTCGCTGTCGCGGCCACGAAGAAACTACCACTGCGCCAAATCGACGTCGCAAATGCTTTCCTGTACGCACCTGTGGACGCTGAGATCTTCGTCGAACAACCCCACGGATTCATCGACGACCCCACGAAAGTATGCCAGCTGATAAAATCCCTATACGGGATCAAGCAAGCTCCGCGGCTCTGGCAGCAGCATCTTCACGGTCACCTCGCAAAAATCGGATTCCTACAGCTGCCGCATGACCAAGGCATGTACCGACTGCAAAAGGGAAAAGAGTATATCCTACTCATCGTTTACGTCGACGACCTGCTCTACATCGGCTCCACTACCGACATCGCCACCTGGTTCGAAGGGGAGCTGAAAGAAGACCTGACGATCACGGTATCCGACGCAGTGACCCAGTACCTGGGACTGAATGTCGTCGAAGACAACTCGGCGTTCTACCTACACGCTGGAAAGTACGCAGGCACCGTCGCGAAGA